TCTTCTGGTGATCCTATGAGTTCTGCTCTGTCCTGCTCTGAGTTCATCATTCTTGAGCAAAGGTGAATGGACAGAGTGATTGCACTAATAGATTGAGATATAACCTCATTGATTCTTTCTTTGCACTGAAAATGCTATTGACCTATCCCCGGTTCATGTTCATTTTTTTCATAGCTGAATCATAGTCATTCTCATATTCTGTTCTTTTGTCTCTTCTGTCTTGACCTGCTAATAATTCCCCAGGTTACAAGAGAAATAAACTTTTAAACAATACACCTTGTACTGTTTAGTGCTAAATTGCATCCAACACCTTTGACTCTAACCCTCCAGTCCGTACAGTCTAACCTGAATAAAGAAGTAACAATTTTGGCTGTGATTTCTGCAATTTCTTTGCAGCATCAGCAGATGTATTTCTTGTTTAAGCCAAATAACAATAATTGTAAACCAGATAGATCTCAAATGTGCTCTAATTCAGACGAATCCGGTTTTCCCATTTTGGCCTGATATTTCCCTTTCAGTTTACCAGTGAGATTCAGTTTACTTAAGTGTCTAAAATAATAGAGGTCTCAGGGTCTCCCTGTGTTCCTTTATAGTCAACTGTGAGAAACAGGCATGTTCCGAGAGATATTAATTCAAACTATTTTAGGCAGCTATTATTGGAGGAAATGCTTTTTGGGCGTAGATTTCATACACTGACTGTAAGGGACATATAAAGCAACTAGATGAGCTTGAGACATTCATCTCTAAAATACCTAAAAGAAGTCAAACGAATGTTATCTCATCTCTATAGCCAGGTACTAACTCTCCTCAGAATGTGCTAACTGACCCACCTGCTTTCTATTTGATATCATAGTTCTCCATTTGACTCGACGTTCTGTACTTTACCAAAGCCCCAAGAGCTTAGGGCAACCATAGCTGGCCCTACAGTAGCATATTACTGAAGAAAAAGAGAGTAAGGACACTCAAGAAAAAAAATGTCATTTATTTTTAAAAATCTCCCTCTTGTTAAGTTTACCCTAAATATTTGAAATTCTTCATTCATCAAGTCTTTGGCCACCTTGTACCATCCTCAGCTTGATAAATTTACCAGCCATCCTCACTAGTAGATTAGCATGTCCTTGTTCTTGCATCTTTCTGGAATGAAAATCGTATATACCTTGTTATGTTGTTGAATCTTTACTTCTAGCTTGGATCTAGCAATGGATATAGCAATGTCTGGATACCTCATTTTCTTTCTCTATCCTGTCTGCAGAATCATGTTCAGCATCATCTTACATAATGAATACATAGAAAAAATATTTCTTTAGCATTGTGACCATATGTAGATTGTTTTTAATCCTTATCCCTTTCTCTCTGACCAGCATAACAACTTATTTTTGTGTTATATCCTTCTATACGACAGAAACAACTGTTAATCTGTTAAAATACCCTTTTCAAAGACTAAATCATCTGGATTTTCAGCAGTCTTCACCTTACTGCTACAGTTCCTGGTTTTCAGGATAATGATTTCTGTATAAATTAATTTTTGTTTGTTTTTCAGTCCATTTTTTTTCCTGGTCCCACGTTTACCTATGCTTCATCATCTTCTTTACATCACCAAAACCTACCAAAGGAAAAACACAGAATTTAACTTAAAAAATGATGCTTAATCTTCTGTCAAAATAAGTAATCAATTAATTAATTTTTAAAAGCGTTTATCTTCAGGTGTCTGTGATCCCATAAAATCTGATATATGATATAAGCAAATGTTCAGTTTAAAAGTTACTAGTGTGCCTTGCTTCATAAGTGATGGGGAAGTTTTACTCTATACTAGATGGTTATGTGATTTTACTGAACCATAGAAAGAAAGGGAAAACTGCCCTGTTCATAAGGGGCAGAATTCTAACTAACTGGAAAAATAAATCAAGCCCTCATGTACTCCTTAGCTATTCATATTACTTACACATTATTTAGCTAGTAGTACAGAAATTGTCTCATCAACTAGAAGACAAATTGTAAGTGCAAGTATCATGTGAAACTGTTGGAGTAATAGCTATGTACTGTTTCTTTCAGAAAAAGAATATCTGAAAGAAGCATTAGGTAAGCATACAGTTGTTCACGTTCGTTTTAGTACTTTGTGTGTGCATGCTTTTTATATCCCTGAAAACTGTCAGCTTTCTAGTTTGATCAACTTCATACATGGTAGTAAATCTTCAAGATCATATACAAGAGCAAATGAGCTGTAGAGCATTCCTTTATGAAATACTTATGGATGTGTCTATTCCTTTTAACAGAAGTTTTTATTATCTGTTTGACTGTAAATTAAAAGATTCAGAACACCTATATGATCTGTTTTCCATGCACTTAGTGCAGATTTAATAAATGAGGACAATGGAATAATTTAAAAGCTCATTTTATCATTTTTAACTTTTAAACTAAACTAACTGTTCACTCTCCACCCCAGTAATATTTGCTCTTTTTCTTCTTCTTTTGTTGTTGTTTTTGATCAAATTAGAGACAGAGGAGAAAACAAATAAAGGAGGTAAATATAATTCTACAGTTGAAACCATTTTAATCACAACTTACAGGCAGACATATATGACAATGAAAATAAGCTACTTCTTTTAAAATGACGGCAGCTTATTTTTATATGAATCGCTGGTATTTCTATTTCATTTTCAGTCACTGCTCAAAATTATTATTTAGTGTGGTTCTGCCGTAAGACGCTTTTCTATCCATAAAGGAATATATAATCTTTGCACCTGAGTTGCTATCTGTACTGCTATCCATACTGAAGTTTTTTGAAGTTCTAACTTATAGCTCCTGTTCTAGCTAATAACTAGCTAACTGCTCAGCTGTAACTAGGATAACAGAGCCCAAAACGTGCAATCAGTTTCTATGTCCTGAGAAATATTGGCTTGGGTGCATAACCGACTACAAAGTAAGTACTAAGGAAAATGCAATCTTATGTTTATGCTCTTCCTTCTACGTCATTGCCAGTCCTTAGCTTACCCGCTGAGATATCCACCTAGAAAGGACACATACTGTCAATACTCGAATGAGGACCCACACCTTTTGGATGAGCAGGCCTTATGAAGGCCATCCAGAAGACTCTATGGCATCTCAGATGCCGTTAGACAACCTGTGCTTATGAATCCCACAATAAGGAGGATACTATCAATGCTTTCATTACAATGGTCAGTATTCCTAAGTGCACCTAGAGAACAGTCACACCCAGAAACAGACACCTGCATTGGGTCACCTGAACCTGCACACCAACTCTTTTGAATATATTCATTGGGACAGCAATTCAGTTGTTTGTACATGGATATCCAGATTCTATGGAGGTGCCACGAGGATTCCTACCCAGGCACCACCTCACACTCCAACAGGACACATATGTCCTGTTTGTCCTGAGTGGCATTTGCCAGTTCTTTATAGATGCCTTAAATAAATTATAGCATATCAGACCGCACTGAAGACTTATATTGGGGAGGAGGGGCACAGTACAATGCTTGCAGAACATAGAAACTCTGCTGCATAGGTGTGCTAATATATACCTGAATCTTATTCACATGATATACTTTTAAGAATTAAATTTGACATATTTTAACACTGCACATTTTAAAGTGAAAATCTTAATCTAAGTTAAACTCTTCATATGGTGTAGCTGAAGATAGAATTATTTCTGTTCTCGCCTCTTAATGATTATCTTTATTTAACTCATTTAAGCTATTCTTTTACAGCAAAGGCTGAAAACAGAAAACGTCTTGGTAAGAAAATATGTCTTAAATAAATCTTGCATTCTTAAGAACCTTAGAAACAGCACAGCTAGTGAGCATGGAGCCTGTCTATGCCTTCCCTGAGGGTGAAGCCCAGTGCAAATATCTCGTCACAATGAGATTCTGTTTCTTCCCTCACGAAATATGGCACTTAGCTCTCTCCCGGGATTATGAAAACTTCCTCGGTCAGAGGTTTGCCACGCCTAACACTACAACAAAGCTACGGACACCTATATTGTGTCGTGAGTCGTTACGTTACAAATCAGGTCTACCGGAACCACTGTGATGACAACCAAGAAGCAAGTCATCTCCTCGTGGTCACACGGCCCATGGACTTAACGTCCTCTGAAAGGCTTTCCAAATGCAAGCAAAGGCAGACCAAGTCTGAAGGCCCACCTTGTGTCCTTCCCCTTGGAATGCAGTCTCAAAAATTGAAATGGCTTGAAAAAAAAGTCCCCACGCTGAGTTTTGGGGCTGTCTATTCTTCTTTGCTTTGGAGCGTTCCTACTTTGAAAAAGGGGAACACGAAAGAGAGATAAAAATAGTGTTAATGATGGGCACGTCTTTCCCTTACAGCTCGATACCAGGTTGAGTTGGGTAAGTGGTTTCAAACATTTATTTTCTTGCTAGATGCACCGGTGCATTAAGTAGAGCAAAGCCAACACTCATGCAAAATCACAGGGATGGCAATAACTGTACGTGAGTAGATGGAATAGTTTCATCTGAGAAGCATTTCACTACCCCATAGCTTCATGAAACACTAATGTCCATTAGATTAACCTCGGAATCACAGAATGGTTGAGATCGGAAGGCACCTCTGCAGATCCTCTAGTCCAAGCCCCTGCTCAAGCACGGTCCTCTAGAGCATGTTGCCCAGGATCGCGTCCAGACACCTTTTGACTATCTCCAGGGAAGGAGACTCCACTACCTCTCGGGGCAACCTGGGCCAGGGCTCTGTCACCCTCACAGTCAAGAAGTTTGTCCTCATGGTCAGAGGGAACTGCCTGTGTTTCAGTTTGTGCTCGTTGCCCCTCGTCCTATCTCTGGGCACCACAGAGAAGCGTCTGGCCCCATCCTCTTGACTCCCTCCCTTCAGATACTTGTACACATCGATGAGACCCCCTCCCCTCAGTCTTCTCTTCTCCAGGCTGAAGAGGCCCAGCTCTCTCATGTGAGAAAGCCTTTCTTCATGTGAGAGATGCTCCAGTCTCTCCATCATCTTTGTGGCCCTTTGCTGGACTCGCTCCACTAGCGCCATGTCTCTCTTGTCCATAACGTCCACAGCTTCATAGACTATTGACGACCATTTCTTTTTTCTAGATTTCTGGGAAGCTCAGAGCCACGCAGGTAAGCTGACCAGGAGGAAGGGCGGGGGAACGGTGTGGCCAGCTGTCCGAGTTTCCCTGAAACGACAATGCCTTGTTTCTAAAGGGGCACTGGCTGAGATGGAGTCAAAGGCATATGCCTTCACTTGACTTGACCTAAGGGAAACGAGGCCGGGCTGTGTGTGTTGGGAAGTGTGAGAAAAGGAGTTGCTGAAAGGTGTCACAGTAGGAAGGGGATGTCAAAGTAGGAGGGGGCAATTCTGGAGCGGACGGACAGCCCTGTGGAAAGGGAGAGTGAGATACGTACTCGAGAGCACGTGGGGAGAGAGCCACTGGGACTTGTGCCCTGAGAGAGGAGATGGCTCTGACAGCCGGAAGGTGCCTCTTTGCCCCTCAGCAATTGGATGCAGTGCTTTGGGGAGTGTTTAAGGTCTTTGCTGAATCAAGGCAGCCCTGCTCAGTTCCTGGAACGTTTCACCCCCTCGCGCCTTGCGGTCAGAGGTGCCCAAGTCACCCCGCTAACGGGCTTATCCTCCTTTTCCCTTCCAGTACCCATTACTGTGAATCCAGACTGCCGAGAGCTAGAGCTCCGAGTGTCTGGAGCGCTGGACACCAAGAGCCACGCCTCTGAATCTGCTGAGCTGAGCGCTGCCTCCACAGTCCCCGTCCTGGTGGGGCAGGAAGGGTTTACAGCTGGGAAACACTACTGGGAGGTGGAGGTGGAGCAGCAGCAGGACTGGGTGCTGGGCGTAGTGAGGGAGAAAGGGGAACAAGAGGAGGGAGGACTACTTCCCACGCAGGACTACTGGGCTCTGCACAGATCCCAGGGAGAGCTTTTCGCTAGCGAAGGAGACGTTAGGGTTGAGAAGGAGCAGCTGCGGTGTTCGGTGATTGGTGTACTTCTGGACTTGGAGGAAAGTCAAGTCAAATTTTACGAAGCAGTGCAGATGCTTCTCCTAGTGACAATCCCTATAAGCCTTGCAAAGGAACCTGTAGAGATGTTTCACCCGTTTGTACCCAGAAGGGAAGGGACGTTCACACCTTTTGCTATCCGCCCAGTCAGAATTCCTGTTCCATTAAAAGCTCTATGAATAGGACTGCAGGATCAAATAGATTAGAGAAAGAAAGTTCAGTGGGAGGAAGAGGGGAAAACTTAAGATCTCAGACATCAGTAGTGTAAAATTAATCTAGAGGAAACATGCCATTGAAAGAAAAGCAAAACCAAGAGAAAATAAGAAAGGGGGGGAAAAAAGAATTGGATAATGTAAATAAGTTTGGGATCATAGAGTCATAAAATCCTAAATAGATGTCTGAGTTCCCATAACGGGTCAGGAAAGTCTTGCCGTTACAACAGTGGTTTTAGTTAACTGAAGAAAGACTTGGCAATTTAGGCAGTGTTATAGAGCCTTCCTTGCCTACTGCTCCAGAAGGATTTGGGTCACCTTTAAGTCCTCTGTCATAACTGCTAGCCCAGTGTCCTAGTGCATGTCAAACAGCACCTGTCTTTAAATAATGTAAGTTTTACCCAATGTTTCACCTTTATGTTCAAATCAATGCCCTCTCTAAAGTTAGGCAAGCAGAATTTTCCTCTCTCATTATCAAGAAGATAAATTTGTTTTTGAAGAAAAAGAGGTGGTCTTTGAAAATTTTTTCTTAATCTTTTTTTCTTTTTTAGCAAATGGTACAGAGTGTATTAGCATAATTATTGTAGTAAAAAGTGGTAATGATAGGTCATGATTGCCAATAATGTGCTAAAGTTTAAAATATTACAGGAAAATGCTCAGAAAGTAAAGGTAGTGGGAACCCTTCCTTGCAGATATATTTAAGTAATAGTTTTAAGGTCAAACAGGAAAGGTTATGAATAAAAAATTATTTTTAAATAAAAGCCTTTCATCCACTAAAAAACTCCTTCCCTACTTCCTATCTATCCAAACCAACTGAATTCAGATTCTGCTGTTTCTCTCACTGAAGCATTATAATTATGAAGAGACTCTAACTTTATGGTTTCCTGCATCACCAATCACTGACCAGCATGCTTTTCTGCTCCTTATACTGTACTCCAACCCAAACTTTTTATACCGGCAAGACTGAATGTATTTATAACATTAATCAACTTTTATCAGCAATGCAGCCTTTGTCAAATCAATGTTCCAATGTTCACTGATATATTTTGTGATCCAGCACATGGAAAACCAAGTTTCCATAGATGCAGATGTTTAATGAGCACTCCTTATAGAGCCTGCAGTATGGCTCTGGTGTGCCAGACTATAGTCCTGCCTTGACCTCCCCCCCAACAAGGTCAGGGATGCCTGATAGATTAGGCTGAGCAAGTGGTTTAAGAGAAACGTCCACGTTCTTTTGCATAAGGTAGCAAACACTCCATGAATCTAAGTCCTCTCAATTTTTTTGAAGTCAATGGATTTGGGCTGATGTACACTAACTAATGTTCTCACCTGTTTTTAAACAGTTTATTATATTAAAATCACTAAAGAAAATCTGCAGACTGCATGCTCAGTATTTTCACCAGAAGATTGACATGACATAGACGAGTGTAAAGGCTTTCTAAAGTGAGACTACAGATTGAGCGAGCAGGCAGATTTGTAGCATTTTAAGCTGTATAACTTGTTCCTTGATTGTTCTTCCTTCAAATATGGGACAGGTATTTGTTTCACTTAATGCTGAAGCTAACAGTGTAACTTCATCATACAACTCAAGGACCATTTCTGAAAATGTGTGTTGGGGCTAGCATGCACTATATCATTCCCAATCAGTGCTTTAACATACTTCTTTGACTGGGGGGGTAGGTGGCTTGGACTGAATATGGATCTTTTCTTTTATAGTTAGCTTTTTTCTACCCATGAATGAAGATGAAATCCTTTCAATTTTTACAGTATAAATTAGGTACATTTGCCACCTCCATTCTTCACGCACAGAATAAAAGGCGATGGTTTTTTAAAACTTGTACAGTCTGAATTCTCATGAATGGAGAAGTCTGTCAAAGCTTCTCCCCACCAGGAAGTTCACAAGTAAACATCCTTCTCGATGGAAACTTTACTCATTCCCTGGTAAGACTTTAATTGTTGTTGAGATATTTAGCACGAGCACAGAGGAAAAAAACTGTATTTCAATTTCCAGCACACACACACACACAAAAGGAAGCTATTCGTTCAAAAGTCTTACACATCCTCTGAATCTTTTTCATTTCCCTTTTTCAAAATTGTTCCCTCTCTTTCACACCTAGTCCTTCACAGTTGCACTTATTTGTACATTTTCCAGCACTTCCAGGGAAACAACGTTCTAAGTGCTCCTTCTCTCTTCCTCAGCCAGTGACAGCGAGGGATCTTTCATCTCTTTCTGCATCTCTGCAGAAAGGCGATCCTTAAAATTAAAATTCCTGAACTGTAACCTAGTTTGGGCAGAAAGCAAATCTGAGCTGAAAGGAACCGTTTTGCAAAACAGGTTTCTGAGGCTATGGATAGCACTTGTCTGCAAATGCTGTGCAGAAGTATCACTGATCAAAATAAGTCAGAGCTGAGCATTACTTCAAATGGCAATAAGTAAGAGTGTGGAAAGAGTTTGTTTTGATAGAAGCAAACACTCAGAGAGACAGGTAAAAAAATTCCAAGAGCTATGCTGGGAGGAAAATAAAATATATGAAAGATGATGAACTTACACACTGGACTGTGCACTTCTCATTGCCAGTGTGCACTTCCAAGCATCATAACATATATTTGTAAATTATCATCTCATCTTCCTCCAGTCTTCTCCTCTTTTAACTAAATCTGGTAAAACCTGCATGGTTCAGTATCTATCTACTGGTGTAAGCTCTATCCCATCACACAGGAGAGGATGGGAGGAGAACCAGACAAATCCATGCCCACATTGCCACCCCTAGTTATACCACAAGATTTGAGGAAAGATTTCCTGCAGTTACTGATAATTATTTCTCCTCCAGGTTATTAGCTGAGTGACAGTCCTGAAAGAGAGAATGAGAGGACGTGGATGCTGCTCTGCATGGGAATGCACACGAGAATTAATCTGAATTCCCTCTTAAAATATAGGCATTAAATTGCTTTCAACTCATGTTCTTATTCAGAATATAAGAGCCCAAATCAGTTTAACTAAAAACAAAGGGTTATCAAACTGAGAGTTGCTCATGCAGAAGAGTAATAGGCAGTGGAATATGGTTTCTCTCATATAATACTGTTTATTTCTGTAGAACATACAGAAATTCATCTTTCCCAGAATCAAACAGGAGGGTCACAGCTTCCTGAGAAAGCTCTGAATAACTACAGCAGACCAAATAGAAATGAGTTTACACCCAAATCCCAGAAACTGCAGGAGTTTAAAAGTGAGTTAGAAACTACAGCTGAAAACGTAGAACTAGGTAAGACACCTGGCACCTCTTCCCCCCAGCATGGATCTGGAAAAATAACTCCATGTTTCAGATATTCACAAACTCTTGGAGTTTGTAAATGTGAACAAAAATGCCAATAAAGAAAGAAAAAGGGTAGATTTGGTGAAATGAAAGAGAGAAGCATGGTTGCTGGGGGACAGCCACTGTATATAGCATTAAGGTTCATGCCTGAATTGAATGTGTGATTCAGTTCTGAAACCTCAGTTTACAGTCCCTGGACTCTAGCCTCCAATGACTGAAAATGACTGAACTGGTTTGAAGTTGTTTGAGAGCGAGCTGTCTGAGAAGCCTTAGCAGAGGCTTCTTGATTCTCCTGGGAGCTCTGTTCAAGCTCAAGCTCTCACCCTTTTAGGCCCTTCTTGAGCTGCTCTGCAGCCATATCCACGTCTGGTCATGTATCTCACTGATCTGGACCCTGACCCTGACCTGCAGCTTGTCATCGGACCTGCTTCATCCCAGCAGATCTGTTTGGTGATCACTGTTGCCTGACTCTGGTTACCATCACCAGACCTGCTATACTCACTTTATTCAGGCACAGCGAAGTTGCGATCTTTGTTGGTGAGCAGACAGCCCCATGCCTGCCTGGCCATCACCTTCAGCAACTGGCTTCTCTTCCTTTCACCTTCCCTTATGCAACAGCCTACTCTTGCTGCTCCCTGACAGGGGTGACCTAAAGGCTCAGGCCTGTAAAGTGACCTCAGGTTCCAGCTGGGGAAGCATAAAAGTTGCTGAGATGGAGTACTGTGGGTTTTGGGGGTTTTGGATTTTTAAGTAGTATTTGAGAGATATTGCCATGGAGGAGAGCGCTATATTCTATTATGCAAAAAGGTTTGATCGTAGTAACGTGCAGAATCAAAGAGAGGCTAGTGCCTTGAGGAATAGCTGGGAGCAAGTCTACACTGTAAGAACACTGGTATCTTTGAACTAAGTCTTTCTCCCCAGCCACAATTAACTTGGGACTGTGAGTTGTGAGCTATTGCATAGGGAAAAAGCAGTTGGTTGAGTCCTGGCTGAGGGTACCTCCTGCTTCCTCAAAGGCTGAGCACTGTGCCTCCGTAATATGTTGAGCTACTGCTCAGATGGCTACACCTTCCTGTATCTGTTTTCAAAACGAGCTGTGGATTAATGATGGTTGTGAAGGAGAGGAGAAGGGAAATCCTATTTGCCTGTGATATCAGCCTGCCAAGCAGGGACGATGAGGTATACCACTCCTATTTCCTTCCCAGAAAGGACACGTGATTTCTGAACACGAGCAGTCTGTGGGGAGAGAGTGTCTCTATCATTAGAAACAGATAACCATGTATGGCTGTCCAACAAACAATTCCAGTCAGCACAACATGGCTTCACTGTGAAAAAAAAATTGTCCTTCCTTTCACTGCCTGCCCTCCCTCCCCTGCTTGTCCTTTTATCTTTGCCCCTCCCTGGCCTCAGCAACCATAAAGAAACTGATGGGTTCAAAAATTAACCATT